TTCGTGTGACATATTGTGATGACATTATTTGAGGAAATATTTTGATGACATAATGCGAGGACATATTGTGGTGTGACATATTGTGGTGACATATTGTGATGGTATATTTTGATGTCATATTGTGAATACATATTGTGAGGACATACTTTGGTGAAAAATAATGATTCATCGGTGGATAATATTTTAAGTCACTGTTTGTTCCGTATTCAAGCATCTACGCAACCAGGTGAATCCATACTTCATTCATATTTTGTTCTGACCCTTGCCCTGTCACGTGATGTCTGGCAATTTCCCCCATTCCCCATGTACTCTTCAACCCGGCATCATGTTCTCGCCATTTTCCCTAGTTTTTTATTATAATATTCCCCTACTCTATTTGTGGCATATAAATTGAACTTATATATTATCGTATGTTTATCTTATGTATTTATTTGTGACACACCTAACAAAAAAGTGAACTGAATAGTTAAAAACTGTATTCAAACTGTTCTTGGTGCAACTACCGGTCGCGTACGTGAAAGCTGGCCAGCAAACATCAAGTGCGTCAACGTCAACGGTCTACTAGACATCACTTCAGTAAAAAGGAAGGTACCAAATCACATTTCTTCCTATTTAAAAGTTTATTATTTTGTGCTCACAGTGTGTCTCTAAAACTGATCTTAACATAATATATCTCACATCCCTCATTTTTTATACAGTCCACCATATCGAAGTTTACCCCCCACTGTTTATGCATGCTTTTAGAACAAAGAGAAAATGATTTCTTATTACATGAATAAATATCTTTCAATAAATTACGAAACAAGTCGTATTTCATAAAACCCTAATTTCAAGTCTGAATTTTTAGCAATCCATCATATTTACAGTTTGTTATAAAGTTCGTAATTATTTATCTTGGTCTATCTACGCAATGTTTGGCACATAATTAAAATTTTATTTGCATGAGTGTTGTCTTATATAGCGTTTGACAACCTCATTATTTTACTGTAGGTAAAGTCTGTAATAAACTATAAAAGATCGATAAAAAATCTGTAGCCTACTTTTAGCATTTTTTCTACGTCTGCTTATTAATTCTTGGTTATCGACTCATTGATTTCCTAGATTTTAATGCAGTCATATTTCATTTATATTCTTAACTCTATAAAGTGAAGCCGATTTTTTTTAAATTTTTAATAATGATAGCTATTTTACTAAACATATATATTTGTGTGTTTATGCAGTTAAACTTCGATTAGGCATCATAAATATTATAATTATGCATTAATAAAGTATAAATTTCTCGTTTTGAAATTACAAGACATTGGACATTTTTTGGATATAGGCTAATGTGGTATATATTTGAGAAAGTTGTACTGAATATCAATCTATACTATAATATCAGTAACTTTTGCGAACAATGATTTCGAAAACGGCTCCTATAACTTTCTCCAAATCGTTAGAAATATCTTAGTTTTAGGCTAAAAACAATATCCATGCTAGGCTCTGTTATAAGAAAATTCGTTTCTCGTGAAAAACCCTAAAATAATTTATTTGTTATTTTTTACATTACTCTTATGGACTGTCAAGTAGCTATGGCAGTTTAACTAAAATGTAAACAAATTAATTGACCAAGGTTTCATTGTATAAACCAACTCCCTGATTCCTGGTTCTGCTTTAATAACGCAACCGCAAAGTGCAATAAAGAAACTGCTTTGGTGAAAAAGTATTTTTGTTTTAATGTAAGTGCCTTATTAAATTTAAAACTGCATAATCAGCGGATCAACTGATATGAATGTGGTTAGGCCTACTGTTATATAACATATTTTGTATGTATAAAATAGCCTTCCTTCATTATCATACGTTACTTTGGAGCGTTCTCCTAGTTTTATTTTTTATCGCCCCCTTTTTAGTAGCAAAAAAATATTCTTCTGCCAAGCAACCGCTGCAATAAAAAGGTATCATGTTAACCATGCAAGTTTTATCCCAAACACTCATGTGTGTGAGGTTGGCACAGCTGACTCCCTTAGCTTGTACATATGTAAACAGGGCTGATGTACATCAACCTTTTCCACATGCGTAAGCATGATGTAGCGTAAGGTGTTCAAATAAATTTAAAGCAATACTTATTCTCGTTTGATACGCTTGTATTGAATTGTAATTAAATTGCTGTATATATTTTACTATTACTAGCTAGTGCAGAGAATTTTCCAAGCTACAGTAAAAAGTACATGACTTACAAAATAAATATATTAAAATCTATTGTTACAAAGATAAATTCTAAATCAATAAATGATTTTATTTTCCCTTCACTGCATGGAATTGTTAACATTACCACACCT